CAATGGATTTACATGGTTATCCAAATTGTTTGAACTAGTTATCCACTTTGTTCATACTGGTTATCCAACTCGTACATACTGGTTATCCAACTTACTGGATATCCAACTTATTCTGCCCATCAAAATTTAATCATTTTTAAACTTAAAAAAAATATTCGAAATGGATTTCGTTGGATAGATCTCGACGAGTACTATAAATTTCATGCATAACACGTTCACAAATTCTTCACGGATTGGGAGATATGCTCGTTGAAAGATTAGAGCTATTTTTTTTTGGAAGAGAAGGAAAAAAGTCACAGGGACTAAAATTGCAAAATATTGAAAGATTGATAAAAAAGTACAATAAGGACTACTCGTGCAAAAAATAAGAGGGGGGCACGTTGCCCCGGGTATACTGGATAATTTGCCAATTATAGTAGTAGTTGTTGGCCCGGTATTCCTCTCAATTGGGTCAACAAGGAAACAAATAAAACTAAGCCAAATTTGGCTTTGGTTTTAGGAAACAAAACTCACTCCAGGTGGGTTTTTGTTTTTAGGTTTTCTTACTCTGTAAAAGCAAGGCTTTGGCATAATTTTTAGGTGTGTGTTTTTCAGCCAAGAAGAGAAGAAAAGTTTGGCAGCCGTGCATTGTTTTTGTACGAGAGAAAAAGAAAGAAAGCTAGGGTTTAGTTTTCGGTTTAACTCTTTTTTGGTTAGATCCTTCCAGTCCTACTTTGTGATAGGTGTATGTGGAAGAGTATTGTTATAATCCACCTTTGGGTGAAGTCCTGTGTATCCACCGGTTGGTGAAGACTGTTTTCCCATTATTGTGATAGTGGAGATTTGGCTGTTGTTACAGTCCCGTGGTTTTTTCCGATTTGGGTTTCTACGTAAATTCGTGTGTCTACTTTACTTTATCAGTTCTTGAATTAGTTGCTTGTTTGATTAGTTGTCTTATTTTATTGGTAGTCGGAAAAGAGATTTTCTTGGGGTTCGCTTCCGTGGTTTGTTGTGTTTATACCCTTTCCGCCACAACAGTGGCATCAGAGCTACGGTTCGGTAGTTGAGGTGTTACACCAATAAAATGGAAGAGTCATCGGGTACTGGTACGATGATTAAATTGACTTCTTCCAATCATTATATGTGGAAACCTAGAATGGAAGATTTGTTGTATTGCAAAGATTTGTTTGATCCTGTTCTAGGGGATGAAGGTAGGTTAAGTGATATGACTGATAAAAAGTGGGCTGATATACACAGGAAGGCTGTTGGTAATATTCGACCGTGGATTGATCAAAGTGTGTTTCATCACTTTTCGGGAGAAACAAAAGTTGATGAACTTTGGGAGAAAATCCAGAATATGTACTGGAAGAAGTCCGGCATCAATAAGTCATCTACGCTGAAACAGATTACCAGGTTGAGGTACAAAAATGGTGCTAGCATGAATGAGCACTTGAGTTCGTTTCAGGGTTTGTTGAACCAAGCTGTGAATGTAGGTTTAAACTTGGATGATGAGGTGCGGGCTTTATTATTGTTTAGTTCTCTTCCAGACAGTTGGGATACTTTGGTAGTATCAATCAGTAATTCAATCCAGGATGGTGTCATGACCTTGGATCAGGTCAAAGAAGCTTTGATGAATGAAGAAGTCAGAAGAAAAGAGCAGAGTATTGAGTCTGAGTCGCAGGCTTTGCCGAGACCATGTCATTAAACTTCAGAAGAGTGTTCCGAAGACTCCACCACAAAATGGCGTGACAGAAAGAATGAACAGAACTATTACCGAAAAGGTTAGGTGTATGCTCTCGAATGCAAAGCTGCCTAAATCTTTTTGGGGTGAAGCCATGCAAACAGCAGTTGATTTGATCAACCTATCTCCCTCAGTTTCGTTGGATGGTGATCTACCACAACGAGGTTGGACAGGGAAAGATGTCTCATTTAGGCATTTGCGAGTTTTTGGTTGTCGTGCCTTTGTTCATATTCCCAAAGATGAAAGGTCAAAGCTTAATGACAAATCCAAGCACTGTGTCTGCTTGGGGTATGGAAATGATGATTTTGGGTACAGACTTTGGGATCCTCTAGAGAAGAAAGTTTTCAGAAGCAGAGATGTGGTCTTCTTTGAACCAGACCATTGATGATATGGGAAAAGGCGAGATGCCAGAATCTTCACCTGAGATTCCTATTGATCTAGGTCCAACTCCTCCACAATCAGATGATTCTCCTGAAGGGGGAGCTGAGACAGAGCAGGATGGTGAGTTTGATGATGATCCTGCTAATGAAACAGAGACACCACCGGTTTCATCACCTCCTGTTCAGCCTAGAAGGTCCACCAGAGATAAGAGACCTTCTACCAGGTACAGTGCTCATGAGTATTTGTTGCTTACTGATGGGGGAGACCCAGAGTCGTATGAAGAGGTTCTTAGTCATGAGCAGAAAGATCAGTGGTTAGCAGCCATGCAAGATGAGATCAAATTCTTGCATGAGAATAACACGTATGACCTGGTGAAGCTGCCTAAGGGCAAGAGAGCACTCAAGAATAAATGGGTGTTTAGACTAAAAACAAGTGAGAACAGCTCACAACCGAGGTACAAAGCCAAATTGATTGTGAAGGGATTCAATTAGAGAAAGGGCGTAGACTTTGATGAGATATTCTCTCCTGTTGTAAAGATGTCCCGATCCGAGTTGTGCTTGGGATAGCAGCCAGCTTGAATCTTGAGATTGAACAGCTTGATGTGAAGACAGCCTTCTTACATGGTGATTTAGAAGAAGAGATTTACATGCAGCAACCAGATGGGTTTCAGGAGAAGGGGAAGAGAAGCTTGTATGTCGTCTCAACAAAAGCTTGTATGGGTTGAAGCAAGCTCCGAGGCAATGGTACAAGAAGTTTGATCCCTTTATGATAGGGCAGGGATACCAAAGGACTACAACCGATCACTGTGTGTTTGTGAAGAAATTCTCTGATGGTGATTTTATAATTCTTTTGCTTTATGTCGATGACATGTTGATTGTTGGTCATGATACTGCAAAGATTGCCAGGTTGAAAAAGGAGTTGAATAAATCCTTTACGATGAAGGATTTGGGTCCGGCTAGACGAATCATTGGGATGAAGATTTCTCGTGACAGACAGAATGGGAAGCTTTGGGTATCTCAAGAAAAGTATATCGAGAAGGTTCTTGATAGATTTAACATGAGCGGTGCTAAGGAAGTCTCGACTCCACTTGCAGGGCATTTTAAGCTAAGCAAAACGCAGTGTCCTAAAAGTGAGAAAGATAAGGAAGAGATGAAAAAGGTTCTTTATGCTTCGGCAGTTGGCAGCCTGAGGTATGCAATGGTTTGCACAAGGCCAGACATAGCTCATGCAGTTGGTGTTGTTAGTCGGTTTCTCTCCAACCCTGGTAAGGAGCATTGGAATGCTTTGTGAAATGGATTCTCGGGTATCTTAGGGTACTTCAGTTGAGTCTTTGCTTTGACAATGGGAAGACTATGTTGGATGGATATACAGATGCTGACATGGCGGGTGACCTTGATGGTCGGAAGTCTACTTCTGGTTACTTGATGACTAATGGAGGGGGAGCAGTTTCATGGCAGAGTAGATTGCAGAAATGTGTTGCTTTGTCTACTACAGAGGCAGAGTTTATCGCAGTTACTGAATCTTGTAAGGAAGCACTTTGGTTGCAGAAGTTTCTACAAGAGCTTGGCATGAAGCAAGAGAAGTATGTGGTGCATTGTGATAGCCAGAGCGCTATTCACTTAGCGAAAAATTCTACATTTCATTCGCGGTCAAAACATATTGATGTGAGATATCATTGGATCCGGGATGTGTTGGACTCCAAGGCGTTGTTTCTTGAGAAGATCCATACGGATGACAACGGTGTCGATATGTTGACGAAGACTGTGAGTAGAGAGAAGCTTCTGTTCTGTAAACAGGAAGCAGGTTTGGTTTTACCCCCCAATTGAGGTAAAGGGGGAGATTGTTGGCCCGGTATTTCCCTCAATTGGGTCAACAAGGAAACAAATAAAACTAAGCCAAATTTGGCTTTGGTTTTAGGAAACAAAACCCACTCCAATTGGGTTTTTGTTTTTAGATTTTCTTGCTCTATAAAAGCAAGGCTTTGGCATAATTTTTAGGTGTGTGTTTTTCCGCCAAGAAGAGAAGAAAAGTTTGGCAGCCGTGCATTGTTTTTGTACGAGAGAAAAAGAAAGAAAGTTAGAGTTTAGTTTTCGGTTTAGCTCTTTTTTTATTAGATCCTTCCAGTCCTACTTTGTGATAGGTGTGTGTGGAAGAGTATTGTTGTAATCCACCTTTGGGTGAAGTCCTGTGTATCCACCGGTTAGTGAAGACTGTTTTCCCATTATTATGATAGTGGAGATTTGACTGTTGTTACAGTCCCGTGATTTTTCCCGATTTGGGTTTCTACGTAAATTCGTGTGTCTACTTTACTTTATTAGTTCTTGAATTAGTTGCTTGTTTGATTAGTTGTCCTATTTTATTGGTAGTAGGAAAAGAGATTTTTTTGGGGTTCACTTTCGTGGTTTGTTGTGTATCCTTTCCGCCACAACAGTAGTATGTAATATTTTTGTGTAGCACATTTATAACAACACTACACATATTATTTTGACCATTTATCTAATTTTTTTGAATTTGACGGAAGTTAGACAAATGAAACGATAGAATTTAATGTAGGATTATGCAGCGGAAGAATTTCTCGCATCAGAGATATAACTATAACGTGAGAGAACTCGTGTGCAAGATTCACTCGGACATTTGGAGATCTGAACTGAATCCAGAAATACTGGAGTTATAGAACCATCTTCTAATGTTTTATGGTACGTAATTAATTAGGACGGTCCTGGTTCTTTGAATCTAAAAAAGCGTAAATATTTCTAATGTAGACAGTCTGAAAATAGAACAGACTTGATTTGGAGAAGAAGAAGAAGAAGAAGTGAATTACTACTACACCTGGTTTCAGCAGAGAGCAACATTTGCCTTTGAAGAAAAGATTGCGTGGCATCAGGGATCACATCACTTTCTAAATTTATTACTATCGTAAACCCAAAAAAGTGATCACAGCTGCATAAAAAAAATATCCATAATACAAATATATAAATATCGCTTTCCATTCGTCAATTGCCGATCCATCTGCCAATTACTACAAAGCTTCTTCTCTCTGTTCATTAACTACAACTTCCGGCGAAAATGTCTCTGACAACTCCACCGCCGCCTCCATCAGCCACGGTGGCCGGCGGAGGAGATTCCCATTTGGGTTCCTACGGTGTTCTGCTTCACCGGCTTTATAGTCTGGAAGCAAGCCATGAGAAACTGAAAGAGCAGTTTGATGTTCTGGTGCAAGTAAATGATAGGCTTATTAGTAATGATGATGATGATGATGAAGTGAAGGAGTCATCATTGGAAGTTGGGCCGGCAGTTCCCGGTGAGAGGAGGAGGAGGGGGGCGGCGGACGGTGGTGGTAGTGGTGGTTCGGCCGCCGACGACTATTCCAACTGGGCTTATATTCCGGGGACATTCTCCGGGACACTGCACCAGAGAGTGTTGCAATACATGGGTCATGCTGTTCATATTAGTCGTCCTGATTCCGGGGAGATCATTTTATGGTCATTCTTTTATTTTATTCCTTCAATTTTTTATTTTTATTAGGACAATCCACTGCTAAAATTTTCCTCTGTTTTGGTTATGCATGTGTCTTTTGTACATTCTGTTAATTAATGTCGGAAATCTGATTTTAGTTCTTTTATGGATATGTTAAATTTGTTCCCAAAAGGGTCTGTCTGACTAAGAGTCTGTTTATCAAAGAAGATTCTTTGGTACATACTTGTGTGGTTTCATGCTGAATTCTGCCCTTAAGTAGTGCAGATTTTGGCAAATATTCCCTTTCGTCCCAAAATGATTGTCGTGTTAGTTGTGTACAGAAACTGCAAAATCATTCGGACAGAGATAGTATGAAAAAAAAAAAGATCGTGACAATTAACCATGCCATATATAGTGGCAGACTTTAGGGCTCGTATTATGTTTAGTTTTGGCCTCTTGACTTTCATTCATAACAGTTGGCTGTGTAGGCTACCAATATATAGGATTTAACCTGAGACAGCATTTCAACTCTGGAAATAGAGGCTTCTACTTTTTTTTTGGAGTTGCTTATACTGTTCATTTTTGGGTTTTTTGTTTCTTTTAAAGGAATTAATAGCTTTTCTACTGCAGGAATCGGTCTGCTGAGAAACTGTATGGATACAAAGACTATGAGGCATTAGGACAGGATGAATCACTAATTGTTGATGAAAGATATTATGAATTTGCTGGCAAAGTAATGGAAAGGTTGAGTTTTATGCGATTTTGGTCAGGTCAGTTCCCCTACAAGAAGAGATCAGGCGAGATCTTTATTGCACTGGTGACCAAAACTCCATTGTATGAGCATGGTGAACGTGTTGGCATCATCACGGTTTCGAGCAGTGCAGCTGTCTTCAATGATATAGGCCCAGAAAACGCGAGGCTAGGTCAAGATCCTACTGAACGCAAATCCAGAGGAATGAATTTTAGAAAGTTACAATGGCAACCGCCACCACTGATTGCATCATCTGTTTCCAACCTGGTGCTTAGCTTCTCTACTTGTTGTATCTTTAGTGTCTCTTTTTTAGGTCTCCTGGTTGTTATGTTATCATGGAATTGATTTTTTACGATAAATTAAATAATATGAACAGGCCTCAAAAGTACTATCACGGAAAGGCGAAGATAATGAGCAGGATGGACCCAAAATTGAGGAGATCAAGGAGCAAAATGAAATGGATGGTAGTCCAGATGTGAAACCTGAGAGGCCCCCGAGAGCACCAGTAAGAATGGTTATGTTGCTAATGTCTGCTTCCTAATCTGAAGAAAGACTGATGTTCTACATTTTTGTGTTGCAGGCAACAAAATCAAGGTTTATTAATGCATTTTCCAGTGCAAAGAATACACTAGCTGGAGAACGCCCTGAAAATGAAGAATCTTCTTCTAATGAAAATTCTCCACCTCTCAAATTCGTATGTCTTCCATTCTTTCAGAATTTGTTAGTTTCTTAAATGTTCTTATGATTTTATGACATTTAGAGGGGGGGGGGGTGGTGTTAAAGTGAAGCCATAAGAAAATTTATTTTAACCATCGGATTCAATCTAGTCATGATGTGGTCTTATAACCTCTACATTTGTAATGGTTCTGAGCAACACCAGACTTGCATATGCAGGCACAAAAAGTATTTGCCAAACTCGGTAGTTTTAGCAAAGGCAAAAGCGGAAACAGCACACAGGATGGTCCTCATGATGCTTCCTTTAGCAAACAAACACCTGTTGAGCCCTCTTCACCTGAAGCAAAGCCAAGAACAAATTTGTATAATCACACTAGTCATTCACAATATCATGCTGGAGCTTTGGGAATCGATGAGCGCCCTCATAGAGTTAAAGAATCAGAACCATTGCAGAAGTCAGATTCAGTTAGTCCTGGGGAAAGATCTAATGGCTTTTCAAGTTTGTCAAGCAAAGCCGATAAAGAATCAAAAATGAATGCACATCATGAAATTAACTGGGAAGACCTGCAATTGTGTGAGGAAGTAGGGCAAGGTAAAACTGCAAGAATGTAAAGTTTTAAATGTTGCCTTGATTATACAAAAGATGAGGTTTGTTTAAGAAGTATGTTAGCATTAGAAGATGCATGGCGATTCATATTTTCCTTTATTGTCACATGCTCGGTGAAGGCAACAGATTGTTGCAGAAGACACTTGGAAGTTTTACCTGATCAGTTTCATTGCAACTAATGATTAAATTGCCCAGAGCATGGAATCCTTTTAATTTATTTATCCAATATCATTTACCAGCTTGCAGAATTTCTTTCTGGAATCAAAATCATGACAGCATGTCCATGGTGAACTCATAATTGATTTGTCATTTTCCTTGTTTAGGCTCGTTTGCAGTTGTGTATCATGGAATCTGGAATGGATCGGTAACTCTTCTAGCTCCATAAAGTTCCTTACCATAACTGATCTTTTATACGGTTATCAAATAGTTCTTTCTTTCTTTATCTTCCACAGGATGTGGCAGTTAAGGTTTATCATGGTACCGAATATAATGAGGAAACTTTGCTTGGTTACAGCCAAGAGGTACCAGTCCGTATGTTTTTCTTGATGATCCATTAAACTCAGATATAAGTATCTGAAGAGTTTATTCATATTTGAAATTGTACTTCAGCTTGATATAATGAGGAGACTGAGGCATCCTAATGTGCTACTGTTTATGGGAGCTGTTTGCTCTAATGAAAGACTTGCTTTGGTTACAGAGTTTTTGCCAAGGTATTATGAAGGGTGTGCAAATTGAGTCCTCTTTAGAGATCGGACAAAAATGCTTTGTAGTTCATTTATATTCTAAAAGCACTTCTATATGTCTTTGTTGATTGTAAAAACAGGTGATGCATCTTCCCTGACTTAAGTATATATTGTGATCTTACTAGGGGAAGTCTTTATAAAGCAATGCACAGAAGTAATCAGCATTTAGACACCAAACGGCGACTGAAGATGGCGCTAGATGTGGTAACATTACCGACTTGCCATTCTCGATAAATTATAACTAAGCAAAGCGCGACGAGGTGTCAGCTGCTTGGTACATAAACCTGAGTTTAATTTTCCCATAATTACCTGCAGGCAAGAGGTATGAATTATTTGCATCGCAGAAACCCGCCCATTGTTCACAGAGATCTGAAATCATCAAACCTTCTGGTTGATAAGAGCTGGACAGTGAAGGTGCTATTTGCTTATTTAGCTGGTGAAGTTGTGATGATATACATAACTGCAACTGACTGGTAATTCTGTTTTACCAGGTAGGAGACTTTGGCTTGTCAAAGTTGAAGGAAGCAACCTTCTTGACGGCCAAATCTGGGAGGGGAACCGTAAGTAACTTCATCTTGTTTCCTCATTTTCATCCATATAAAAAGCTAAAATTCTCATTATTAGCATGGTAATTCTTTGTCGTCGACGTTACTGATTACTCCATGCTATTGCTGCTGCAGCCTCAATGGATGGCTCCAGAAGTTCTTCGAAATGAACATTCAACTGAGAAGTAATCTCCATTCCAAACATTCATATTAGTAACTTTCGACTGGCATTAATCGCTCGCATTTCTTTTTATGAAACAGGTCTGACATTTACAGTTTTGGAGTAATTTTGTGGGAACTAATGACGGAATCCATCCCTTGGAAGGATCTAAATTCATTGCAGGTTAGAGGCAATATTCTTTCCGCTAATGCATTGATCACATAAAGAAAGTTCATTTGTTTTCATGATTGTAACAAGTATATCCAGTTCACAAATGTATGCTGTAGCAAAAGTACACATGTTAATTACTCAGCCAACTTTTAACTTGCGGTTTATCACGGTAGCTGTAGCAGGTTTCCATTATGACATTATTTTCTGGCTCAAAGGTTGTTGGCGTGGTCGGTTTCATGGACCGCAGATTAGACATTCCTGAAAAGGTTGATCCAAAAATTTCCTCCATCATCCAGGACTGCTGGCAAAGGTTTTTTTCCTTTTTTACAGCTCCTACATGTTTTGCAAGTTAGTTCCGTTGTAACTTCGATCAAGCCACCAAACACCGTTGTGTATTGATGATGTTCTGTTGACAAATGCATGGAACAGCAAAGCAGAAAATCGTCCGTCATTTGAAGATATTATCCAGAGGATGACAGAATTGATCAAAATGTTGCCGGATCAGGGAATGCCCAGAGGATCTCAGAGATTAAGATCTCCAGAATTTGGTTTATAGTACCACAGTTGTTCAAGCTCTTCAATTCTTAACTTCTGGCGGGCCCCTTTGCAGAAATAGACGCTGGTATACTGAAATGGTAACATGGTTGAATCTCACTTGAGAAGAGGATGAAAAGTTGCAAACAGCGTCAACGCAGTGAATGTAGTATTCCCTCGTTTGTTTTCTTTCACACTACCTCTGTCCCAAAAAAATAATTCAGAATGCATTTTGAAATTTGTACTTTTTTTAAAATAGTAAATTTGTACTGATTTTAGTACTTAACTCAAAACTCAAAATTAATTATTTTTCTGGGACAGAGTCACATAGGGAGTATTGCACAATCTTAGTTCAACCAAGTGGATTGGTAAGATCAAACATGATTCAGGGGTGATAAAAGGTAGTTGTGTTTCTGCAAGTTTTGGTAAGCTTTGCAGTTTAATTATTTTATTTTCAGTTTGAGAGAGTATCAACATAACGGAAAATTACCAACCTTCATCATTTGAAAGGCTTTCACATGAATGTTCTTTTGATTTGTTTCCTTTTTCACAAGTTCAAGTTTTACATCTCCATGAAGCAGTTGAATTGTCTTCGAATTTTGGCCCGATAAACAAACGTATACTGCAGATTTGACTCTTTCAAATCATATCCTTCAGTGTCCTGAAATGATTATCCTTTTGGTTGTCTCATTTATTATTCCCTCCAGTCCTTATTATAAGGTATTTTGATTTGTCTTAGGTTTCACATAAGATATCTTTTTAATTGGAAAAAAATCTTAAAAATATTTTTTCACATTCGTTGTGTCTTCTTAATTATTATAAAATATTTTTAAGGTTTTTATTTCAATTAAAAATACATCCCAGGTGAAATTTAGGATAAAATTAAAATATCTTATAATAAGAACAAGAGGGAGGAAGTAACAAACAAAATGATATGGTTGCTTACTAACACCTTTAAAAAATTGACTACAAATTAAAGATAACATATGCACGCGACTAAGGAGAAAGGAGACGTTAATTTGGATTCAAATATAATTGATACAATCAGTATGATCAGTAAACATTACAACCACAAATGGCCACCTTAACACTGGTCAGGTGGGAAATCAATTCCATTTCCCTTGTAATAATACACACTTCTGTGACCTGATATGGATTTATTCAACAAGGAACAAAGGAAACGACCATAGCGATTCTTTCAATTCCTCATTTTTATTTTTTTAAGGTTACTGACCAGTACTCCCGAATATTCATTAATTGCTTGCCTTTAGAGTCCTGAAGCAGCAGGCTGGTCCAGGAACCAGGTAAGCAACCCCTCAGGGCGAACTTTGGCAGCAGGCAATGTGGAATTCGGAGTTCCTAACACATTCTTCACGGCATCGGCTAACTCAGCTCCCGTGACGACCATAGCAATCTCCGATGCAGCATTGATCACCGGAAATGTGTAAGTGATGCGGGGTGGAGGCGGCTTTGGGGAGTCGAGAATGAAAGTAACCCAACGCTGAGTCTCAAATTGTTGAGTACGGTTGGGGAACAGGGAAGCAACATGGCCATCAGGTCCCATTCCCAGTAGCATCAGATCATGCTTGGGGAAATTATCTGATGATAATGGTAGGATTTTCTTGTCAACCCAATCCTTTAGACGGGCCTCGTAATCGTCTGCTGCGTCTGATGGTTTTGATTTCGTGTCATCGATTGCAAGGATATTAGCCTCTGGAATTGGTACCTGATGAGAAAAGTAAGCCAGTAGCTTCAACAATTTCGCTGACTACAAATACAAATATATGCATATTTTTTGTTCCACAAGTGTGATGGATTGGTTGAACAAAATTAGGTAAATTAGTGAAGAACGCCAAAATGGGCCAAATTCTAGGCTAAGCAAATGATCAAACACCTTTTATGTATATTGTTCAAACTCTGAAAATCAAAGAATGAAAAAAGGAAGGAGAGGGATTTTTAGTGTGCAATTACCTTAGAAAGGAATCCATCCATAGCGAGTTTGTAATTGCTGTCATCGGAAGTCTTGGGAACCACTCTCTCATCCAGCCAAAAAATACTCCATTTCGACCATTCCACCGATTCTTTGTACGGCGACTCCGTAAGATATCTGGTGTTCCAATTAATTTCAGATCGCACCAGGGTCATGAAAAAGAGTAATCATCACATGATCATAACGCTGGATTGAAGGTATATAATGTATGATTGATCATGAATTATAAGCAAGTTATGTAAGTTTAATGGTGTTACCTCATAGTGTCGATTAAGGTACCGCCGGAGAGTACGACGGTGAAAGAACCTTTCTCCTTAATGAAGCGCCGGGAGAGATCGGCGGTGTACTCCGCGAGAGCCTTGGCCACGTCATCCTCTGTTTTGAGGATAATCTTTTCGGTTTTCTTACCCGAACACGCCGCCATTGATTTTTTCCGATTGGTATCTATTTTTGAGGTTTTGATGAGTTTAAAGAATTGAACCTCTGGAGTGGGAAAGTGATTTCTGCTGGAAGACAACGCTAAGCGAAGGCCTAATATATAAATACGCACGAGAGGAAGAAGAATAACCGGGGGTGTATAAATTGGATAACTCATTGAAAAATCAGCAAATTCTTGGGTGCACCGGAACCACCAGGAACCATCATGGTCTCCCTCCTATTTTTTCACATATAATCCTTATTGTACTTTTTTCTCAAACTTTTTATGTTATGCAAGTTTAGTTCCTCTTACTTTTTTTTCTCTTTCCTCATAAAATATCTCTAATTTTCAATTGATCATATCTCTCAATCCGTGAAGAATCAGAAAACAAATGAAATTCATAGTACTCATCGAAATCTATGCAACAAGATTCATATCGAATATTTTTTTCAAACTTAAAAATGACTAAATTTTAATGAGCAGAAATGAAAGAAATTTGTATGTTATTTGGATGGATATCTAGTTTAAAAAGATGGATAAGCAATTATTTTATATTGATATTCTTGTAAAATTTATATCTCTCAATCCGTAAAAAATTAGAAAATAAGTTATACATAAAATTTGTAGAGCGCGACGAGATCTATCCGATAAGATCAATATTGAATATTAATTTTTGAAAAGTTAAAAAAAAATTACTCTGGGCAGAAATGAAAGAAGTATTTGTGTTGGATAGTCAGTACGAAAACGGTGGATAAGCACTAGGAACCGGTGGATAGGCGACCCGATTCAAATTCACTCTCATATTTTTTGCTTATGGAAATAAGTACATTCGGAGGCGGTGGATAAACACTACAAAAGCAGCGAATAGCTGTCCGAATTTGGAAAAAAAGTAAAAATGATAGGATAAACAGTACAAACCGGTTGGATAATCAGTGTAAAAAATACGGACAATGATATCCAAGAAAAATGTTAAAGGAAAAAAAAAGTTAGAGAAACAGTAGAAACCAATCAGTTGGATAATCGGTATGAAAACATTAGACTACCATTTTTTAAAAAAAAAGTAAAAGGAAAAAAATGATTAGACAAAACCTGTTTGGATAAACAGAGAAACGGTTGGATAATCAATCCAAAACGGTTGGATAGTCAGTACAAAAGGCCGGACAAAGATTTTCACCAAAAAAAATAAAAAAAAAATAATTAGTTGGATAATCAGTACCAAGCAGCTGGATATCCATCAGTTCACTACTAATTATGCGAAAGCTTTATACTGCTTATCCATATATTTTATCTACCATAATATTGGACTTCAAATCTTTAACCAAACTCTGTCAATATCTCAATAACAAAGATTAAACGAATGGAGATAAAATTAAATTAGATTTCTGAAAATCCAATCATGTTATTAAGGGCGGGGTGGTTATTGCTGATAATTCAAAAATGATTAGAAAAGTAGTATAGACTTATTTGGATAATCAGTAAAAAATAATTGGATAATCAATACAAGACGATGATAATCAGTATAAACACATTGGACAAGCAATAAAAGTAATTGGATAGATAGTATGAACTGGTTGGATAATCGGTATTAAAAAATTGGACAATTACGTAAAAAAAAAAGAAAAAAATAGGTTGGATAACGATTACCAAGAAGTTGGATAATCAGTATGAACATATTAGACAAATATTTTCTTAAAAAAAAAAGGAAAAATATTAGATAAATATTACAAATCATGTTTAGATAAACATTAAAAATGATTGGATAATCGATACAAAATGGTTGGATAGTCAGTAAAAAAAATGAACAATAATTTTCATAAAAAGGAAAAGAAAAAAATGGTTGGAGAAACAGTGAAAATAATTGGATAAGCAGTATAAACTGATTGGATAGTCAGTACAAAAAATTGGACAATTATTTTTATATAAAAAAAAAAGGTTAGATAACTATCACCAAGAAGTTGGATAATCAGTATGAACATATTGGACAAATATTTTTTCAAAAGAAAAGAAATTTTGTTTAGATAATCAGTGAAAATGATTGGATAATCAATAGAAAATGGTTGGATAGTCAATACAAAAAAATGGACACATAAATATTTTTTTCATTTTTGTCCAAAGTATTTTAATTAAATTCAATATTGATCTTATCAGATAGATCTCGTCGAGTACTATAAATTTCATTTATAATCCGTTTTCTAATTATTCACGAATCAAGAGATATAAGGAACACAACAATATGGATGTAAAATAAATTGGTTATCTATTTTTTAAATTGGATATCCATCATATCTCTACCTATCAGAATTTAATCATTTTTTAGTTCAAAAAAATATATTACATATAGATCTCGTTGGATAGATCTCGATGAGTGCTATAAATTTCATATATTATTCGTTCACAAATTCTTCATGGATCATGAGTTATATTCATTTAAAGATTAGAGATTTTTTTAGAGGAGAGAAAAAAAAAAGTAGCAGTGACTAAATTTGTAAATTATAAGAAGTTAGTTAGAAAAAGTACAATAAGTACTAATAACGAAAAAAATAGGAGGGAGACCATGATAGTACCGGGTACACTCAAGATGGTCTCGAAAAATCATCAAATTTCCATGTAATACTGTACTCCCTCCATTCCAAAATAAGTGTCGTTTTAGCAAAATTGAGAAATTCTAAAATAAGTGTCGTTTTCGGATTCCAATACATTTTTTGTCAAAAATTTCCAAACCTTCAAAAGAAATAATATAATTGGTGAGTATTATTTTAATGAGGTTGGTTGGGGATATTCTAATAATTTAACTACCATATTTAAGTATTTTTTAAACTGTGTGCAAATTCTAGAATGACACTTATTTTAGGATGGATGGATTACTCGGTAACTATTGAGTCACGTCAATGGAATGAATAAAACGGGAAGTATTATAGGGTAGGAATGTGACAATTGACATGATGGTGGAAAAAATACAAAATGTTGCCACTTTTGAATTTTAAAATTGTATGGTATGAAGAAGAGAATCTTCCACATAAAAATTTTCTTGACATCCTTTTTCATGAAAACCAACCATAGTAATTCCAAAGAAGAAAAAAGTTTATAATTTTATACTCCCTCCGTCCCATAATTATTGTCTAATTTAAATTTTCATTTCTAGTTCAAATTGTACTAGAAGTGAAATATCAAACTGGACAATAATTATGGGACAAAGGGATTACTACGTTTCTCGCAAATCAAATCGTAATCCTTTAAAATTGTTTAAAACTTCTTCGGTTGTCTTTGATATTCCTAAACTATCCCAATTCTTTTTTGGTTTTCTTCTCAACTAATTAACAGAATAGTTGGGGAAATATACCCATGACTTTTCCATTTTCCCCATGATCCCAACTTCCACGTGAAAAACAACAACGCCTTCATTTCCCAACGGCAACTGGGACCAAAGTTGAGCCTACTCGTGAAAAAACAACGTTGTACTACATCGGACTGGACCCTTCATCTTTTCTTTGTTAGCAGCCTTTACAGACTAGGCATGACTCAGCGACAAAATCTTCTTTTTTAAAAAAAAAAATAAAAAATTATCACAGTAATTCTTTTAGTATCTTTTCGAGTAGTGGTGTATAGAGTGTAACCATTGGCGTTAAAAATAAAAACTTTTTGTCTTTTCATCTTAGCGTCTTTAATTTTGATACACTCGCACGTATTCAAAGTCTTTCATTAATCAAAGTAGCATACACAAGTTCACTCGATTCCTATTAAAAATTACACTCGTTTTGTTGTACAATTCAACCAAGATGAATTAATAATACCAGAGAACTCCTTATGTGCTGTAACTACAGTTCTATAATATATTAATTTAATCAATGCACCGAGTTATTTACTTTCCCATAATTTCATATCAGGTTTTCCAAAAATCTTCAAAATTAAGTTCAGTTTAAGATATAGATGATATGATCAGAGGGAAGTCCTGAGCTAATTTAAGAGTAAATTTTGGATTGCAGTTAAACTACCTCAAATTTTATTTTTTTATTTTTTTTCCCAAGTTTTATATATTTAAGAGAGACTGAAATTTTGGTTTCTATATATTCTTGAACAATGGTGAATCTTTATTCCACCTGAAATGGAAAACGTCATGGACTTGAATTCGTTCCAAGTAAGCGAAGAATCGGGATTTTCCCTCGGCTTGATTATGTTCTTCCTGCAAAACAGTAAAGCTTGTTAAGCAGGACATTAAGACAGGACTTCCTGATCTGAAATTGAGTGATTTTTTTTTATTTTTTATTTTTGCATTCTTATTACCATTAATTCTTTTAAACCCAATGGATGATCCAATAACAGTTTCACTGCTAAAGTTAAAGCCAGGGAAGTGGTCTCGAAGCTAGCAAAGAGAAGCACAAACATCAAATCCAGAGCAATTTCCTCTGTAAGAACTGTGCCCTCCCTGTCTAATTCTTGTAAAACATAATCAAAGAAATCGTGTTGTTGCTTTCTGGGATTTTCCCGTCTCTCCTGAAACATGGTTTTTAGCATCTTCATTGCCTTAGTTCTCCCCTGATTGTTCAAAACAATGAGTACACCAATCCATTAAAAATCATTGAACTTAGAAAGTTGGCTGAACTTGAGCTTGAGCTTCTAAAACATATATACATATAAGTAAACCTGTAAACACTTGTGATAAGCTAGCTGTTCCAGGAGGAATGTTTACAGGGAAAGAAATCAAGCCCTGCAGGATGAAAGCTACAAAATATTCCCTGAGGTTCTCGGAAGACTTCTCTGGATCGTAGCTTATCAGTTTTTTACCAGTGAGATCATCAAATATCAACTGCAGAAACAGTACCAATGCAAATATTTTGTTAGTTCAAATCAATTGCTGAAAAATAATCCGAGAACTCACACTTGCAGTTGCATCTTTCAATTCGACAGAATTTCGGGAAGACCATCTTTTTAAATTAGTGATTGCAGCCTGTTCCACCTCAGGGAGCATTTTCTTAAGGCCTTGAGGACCAAACAGAGTTAGTACCATGTTTTTAAGGTATTTGTACATGAAACCATGAAGAGATCCCACATTCTGTTTTCCAAATATCTCAGTGAAAGTGTCAGGATACCAGCTCTCAAACAACTGGCCTTCTTGTTGAAAGATAAAGTAATTAAGATCCGAATCCGCGGACACAGTCATAGGTTGTCCAACCACCTAAAAGTGGCCATTCCATTGAACCTGGAGGGAGTAAATAACCATTATTGCTGTAGGGATTCCTCCAGTTATGAACAAACAAGGCAATAATGCTGATAAAAAATGATAACTCCAACAATGCACAGAGCAGCTAACATTTTTCTATATTTTTGCAGGAGAGAGGAGAAATTATGTTCAAAGTTCAAAATTGGAGCCAACAAAAAAAAAAAAAAGAAAGGAAAAAGGAAAAGAGACAAAGTACTTAATTAATGAGCGGGAAGGGCTCTGGCAATGCATATTTGTTTCAGAATATAGAGAACTTAAATAAGCGAAGCGAGCGAAGTAGAAAGCAGTAAAATATGTACTCCATGCTTGTGCTAAATGAGCAAACATATGAAAATATATTGAAAGCAGTAATATATTGAAAGGCAATAATAGGCACAATTTATTAGTTGTGTTTTTACAATTTATTGAAAATAACTCTAACAGGATACGCATCAACATATGAAATAGTGTGATAGAAAATGGTGTAAAATAGTTGGGTATAAGATTTTTTATCGTGGCAAAATGAGCAAACAGTATTAATGGGAGTTTGCATTTCTCTACTCAATCTCCAAGACTCCAACATCTCGAATTAACCGTTTCAAAAACAAAAAGCTCAAATTAATTTAACTTGCTTTTCTTCGATTAAAAAAAAAAAGAGAAAGAAAAATTCTCCAGCTACTTTAATTCTTTGCAGTAAACAATTTCTTATACTCTGGGAACACCAATTTAATGTGAGAATAAGGAAATCTTAACAACGAGTACTGTTAAACCCTAACCCTAATATGTACATTTGTATATATAGCCGACTTTCGGCTTTGTTAATACACAAGTTAATGTTGATCGTAAATACAGTTTCTTCAAGTACACATATAAAATACTACGTATATGTTTAACAATGAATAAACGAATTTAGGTGAATACGTAGTATTTTTCGCTCACTATACAGTGTAATTGTTTAGGCGAATTTCCTATGAGATAAAATGGAGATCATGTTGTTTCACTATGCACTTTTGTGATCTAACAACCCGATACAAGGATAAGAAATGTCACTGGAAATATTCCAAGTATTTAGTGATTTCATTGTACACTAAAAGTATCGAAATGATCCATGCATATCTATAGAGTTTTGGGAAACTCTTGAAAATTAGACATAACCCTTGGTTATGGTCATAGACATAACTTTTTGTTAATGTCTTTTCATATGGAGTCAATAGGCATAACTTATTAGTTGTGTCCCTACAATATATTGAAAGCCAATAACAGGCACAATTTATTAGTTTTGTCCCTACAATATATTGAAAATAACCCTAACATGATACGCATCAACATATGAAATACAGTTAATGTTGATCGTAAATACAATTTCTTCAAGTACACATATAAAATACTACGTATATGTTTAACAATGAATAAACGAATTTATTATCCTTGTATTTTTAATAGCATTTCTTATCCTTATATCGGGTTGTTAGATCACTAAAGCACATAGTGAAACAACATGATCTCCATTTTATCTCATAGGGAATTCGCCTAGACAATTGCACTGTATAGTGGGCGAATTTAGCCTAAAGGAAAGCAAGTTTACTTGTGACTTGGAGACAAAACTTTCTTTTATCCTAACTATAAATTCCTCATCGTTCTTTGATCTAGTACAGCCATTGTTGTCCACTATTCTTGAAATAAAATTCCAACAATCTTTAGGCTAAATTTCTCGGTGAAACAATGGCTGGTATTTGAAGAATCAAGCAAGGATATTTTCGTTGCACACGAAAATGGTGGAAAGATTGCAGATCATTGGATTCAAATGGAAAAGGGCAATGATTGAATACAATGGACCTCGTTATCAAAGTAAGAATTATATTTTACTTGTAAATTGTGACACTCCAAGTTCAAGGTATGTATTTATTTGATAAATACATGAATGTATTAATGAGATCTAGCCTGAGTAAAACATAGTTGTAGAATTCATGAACTTTTGCATGTAGAAGAAATTTACTATGCATTATTTGTTGATTGCCCGCATGAGTTGTTTCTATTAAAACATAATACTTAATTAATGTGATGATTAACTAAGAAATGTATGTCAACAAAGGTTGATAGAGAATTTGACCATATTTTATCATGCTTTGAAACAAAAAACAAAATTGGCATTATATATAGCAATAGTGCTTTGAGTGCATGTTTTAAATTTTTTTTATAAAGTAGTGTCAACCTTGTTGTTGATAAAATAAAGTCGACGTAAAAGTCGACATCTGTTGGAATTTGCTTTGGTTGCATGTTTTAATTTTTTTTATAAATTGGCGTCAACCTTGTTGTCGATAAACTAAAGTCGACAGAAAAGTCGACATCTGTTAGAATTTGTTATGTGTTTTGTTTGGTATTGTCAACTTGTTCGTCGACTAGAGTTAAGTTGACAGAAAAGTCGATATTCGTTGATATGTCTGATTGTTTGGCTATGTCGACTTATTTGTCGGCCGATTCAAGTTGACAGCAAAGTCGACATCCGTTAAAGTGTTTGGTTGTGTCGTCTCGTCGACTTAGTCGTCGTTGGGATAAAGTCGATAAAAAACTCGACGACAGAAATTTATGTAAAACAAAACAAAATATAAAAAATATATAAATAAATTTTTGTGTGCGGAATTTTTGTGAATGCATCACATATTAATTATTTTGGGTAAATCAAATAAAGAACTTTGATTCCAGTAAAGTACTGGTTTCGTGTATTTGTGTTTGTTACATGGAATATTTAATTGCATAAAAAAATTTGCAATTTATATGATAATTTCATGTGATACATAGTATGCTTCATACAAAAATGCAATCTTTGCATTTTGGAAATAATAAAACAATTTAAGAGTTATTGTTTTTTGTACACGTAATGCATTATTCATTATTAAAGTGAATATGTTGCATAAATGAATAATTTTTATGAAATGACACAAACTTTTTTTTATAACATGATTCCTCAAATGCTTCAAGAAGAATGTCCAACTTCCCCCACTCTCTTCATCCACGATCGCATATGCAATTGGCAGGATGCGCTTATTCGCAGTTTTGACCATTGTAGCGAGTAACTTCCCTTTGTATCTGCCACGCAAATGCATCCCGTCGGTACTAATTACTGGAGGACATTTAGCAAAACAACCAATTGCAGGCTTGAATGCCCAAAAAACGTATTTGAACGTCTTTTCTGTATTAGTCCAACTTGGTTACCATTCCCACTCTACAATTCTGCCGGGGTTGCTCTTCACAAGGGAGGCGAAAAACCTAAATTTAAAAAAAATAAATTAATGCTTATTTTAAAAAAAATTACAAACAAATCAAATAAATTAGATAGGACTTAAGTAAATACCTTAAAAGTATGTCAAAATTGGAAACCCAGTCGCCGTAAACAAGATCGATAGCTTTTCTCCTTCTCTCCCATGTCCTATGGTAAGGAACATCGACATGTGTACGTTCTTTCACTTCTTCCTGAACGAGCTTCACTTCATAATCCGGGTCCAACTCAACCTTATTCCTTATGAGATGAGCAATAAATGTTGCGCTCACATTTCAATTATTGTTTTCCACGGTGGTATTCATACAATTATGCTCGGACATCCATGTCACAATCTCCCACAAACCGTGGTCTTTCAAGGAGGTACATACCTTCCAACGACAAGGAACATAACCCTTAGGGATTGACTCTTTTAGGGATTTGCACCAAATATACCATGTATTGCCGTCACTTTTCTTCACATAATACTCTCTTTTTTGCTCTATGTTCCACGCTCCTATACCATTTTTGCATCGATCTTGTTCTTAAAACACGTCCCTTTCCCGATTATTGCGGTTGTCCCATCCCACATAGTAAGCTGTAATTCATCCTTGTCCACTTTTGTATGATCCCATTTACCCTGTGAACGATATATGTGCCTGTCATTTGTGGCGAATTTGTCTTCAACCTCTTCATCACTCTCCCGACTCCCTTCGGATATTGATTAGTTTTCATCACTTTGTTCACTTATTTATGGTAGTCCTCATCATTGAATTTCAGCATCTTCCACGTGATCATCTTCCATGTGATCGCCATCCTCTATATTCAATCCACCGATATCATCATCTTCCATATAATCGATATTCTCCATATTCGGCCTACCACTACTTGTCCCTGCTTCCAAATGAGACCTAGAAGTACCCGCCACCTCCAAATCCACATAGAAATCAATATATATCGAATTTGGAAAGAAATACAAGACTTGCAACGATGCGTCGTCTTTGATTTTGGCGATACGCCTAAAACCATTACCCATCGTATCATACAAAATTGAGAGACTTGAATTCACATTCCCTCTATTCCATCCAGCTCTTTCACAAATTAATCCAACCAAATCATAGAATGATACCTTATGATCAATCACAATAGAATCATCCGGCAAGCTGTTAAAAGTATTCACAATCCCATTCTTCACAACAAATTTGCTCGACCAATAGACATTAATGAAATATGGACCGTTAAACGTCATTTATATCTGTTGATTACATGAATTAAAGCACATTTGTGAACAAATTATTACCAAAAATACCTAAACAAGGCATAATCAAACAAATTATTATAACAAATACCACAAACAAGGCACAATCAACACCTAAATTTACTACACTCCCTACAAATTCAAAAGTTGAGGGCAAATTCAAATATTTTACTAAATGAAACGTTTAATACCACGCATACAACAATAATATTCACCAACTAAAAACAACATCAACCCTAAAATCTTATAAACATTCCTAGTTCTACACTTCTACCAAAAAAAAACAACAACAATAATCTAAAAACAACAAAACAATAACTAACATTCTTGTGAAGTGGATTTAAGACATCAGTTGCGAATAATCGTGAACAAAATCTTCAAATCGCCACCAAAATCGCCTCCTCCTTCAAGAGAAACGAAGAATCCCGATATGTGAATAGTGTTTTT